GCTCTACCGACTGAGCTAACCATGTCTGAACAACTATACCCAGTCTAGATATGGATTTAAAAAAAGGACCCATGAATGGAATCTTTCTACTCCCTTCTCGTTGCCCAACCGATATGGTTGAATCTCGCATAAGGGATTTTCGGGCTAACATCGTCTGCTATGTTCACATCCCTTATGCAATCTGTTGTAAATGTGGGTGGATGAAGAAGAGAGCCTTATTTCAATTCACCACAGGTACATTCGTGATGGTGGAAATAATAAATAAATAGATAAGTAAATAAGATATAATATCGAGGGGACATTATAACCGTTAGTTAATCGTCGTAGGTAGTATCATGCAGTTAAATCTGAGGTGAATGCCAAATCATGAAGCCACATACCATCCGTTCCATTCAACCGGCCTCGTTAGCGCAGTAGGCAGCGCGTCAGTCTCATAGTCTAATTAGCTATCTGAAGGTCGTGAGTTCGACCCTCACACGAGGCATTCATTTTTAAGTACCTAATCTAAGCAACTTTACGGGAGGTAGCGTGACTTTGATACAAAAAAATACAACCTCTTTCTTGCCTGGCTAGCAAAATGACCAAAATGAATATTATAATATTAGATATTAAATATTATGTGGGGTAAATTCTGGAGATCAAACGGATATAGCAGAAATGCTATACTCCTTTTTCACAGAAATTGGGCCAGGCCTTAGTAGAGACGTGTCAGAAGTTGATAAATCCTTCGAAGAATTTCTTATTGAAACTGATAAAAATTTTGTTTTTGAAAAAACAACACCAACACATGTCTTTGCACTACTATCAAAGCTTTGCAAGTCAGAGGCAACTGGATTAGATAATATCTCAGCAAAACTTCTAAGGGAATGTCCTGATGTTCTAGCGGAATCTCTTACTCATCTATTCAATCAATCCATAATGACTGGCATCTTTCCCGATGAGTGGAAATCTGCCAGAGTCACTCCATTGTATAAAAATACTGGGAAGCGCTCTGATCCGACTAATTATCGACCAATATCAATAATTCCAGTTGTGGCCAAAGTCTTTGAACGGATAATTTACGATCAGCCTTATCGTTATTCAACTAACAACAACTTTCTCTCGTGCCATCAATCTGGTTTTCGGTCTTTGCATTCCACGCTCACAGCACTTATTGAAGCTACAGATAGTTGGGCAATGGATATAGACCGTGGTCTTGTTAATGCCGTAGTGTTTTTAGACCTCAAAAAGGCATTTGATACAGTAGATCACGATATTTTGCTACGAAAATTGCAATACTATGGGATTTGTTGGACCAGTCATCAATGGTTTGCTTCTTATTTAGATAATCGAACACAGATTTGCCATGTAAATTCTTGTAAGTCAACTCCGAAATATCTAAGATGTGGTGTTCCCCAGGGAACAATTTTGGGACCCCTTCTGTTTTTAATATATATTAATGACTTACCACATTGTCTGACATATTCGGAACCCAGAATGTACGCAGATGATACCAGCCTGACGCTTGCCAGTACTGACTTTGATCATATAAATTATTGCCTTAATTACGACCTGAGTAATGTGTACGAATGGCTGAGTGCTAACAAGCTTACCCTAAATATGACAAAAACTGAGTTTATGCTTATTGCATCAAGGCAGAAGTTATCACAATTTACGGAAAGTCCTTCTCTTACTATAAACGAAATCGCAATAGAACAAGTAACCTCCGATAAGTCCCTTAGAGTTTATGTCGATCAAAATATCAACTGGGAGTGTCATATTGAAAACATCTCTAAGAAGATAGCTTGTGCCATTGGTGCAATTAAACGAATTCGGCACCTCACTCCATTTAATGTTCTAATTAAAGTTTATAATAGCCTTGTTCAACCATATTTTGATTATTGTAATGTAGTGTGGGGAAACTGTAACAAGGGCCTTTCTGAAAAACTGCAAAGGCTTCAAAATCGGGCAGCTCGCATCCTAATGTCTGCGAGCTATGATAGTAAATTAGATGATTTGTTCCGGGCACTAGGGTGGCGAAGACTCTACTATCAAAGATTGGAACAAAAATCTATCTTAATGTATAAAACTTTACATGGTATGACACCAGATTATCTGAGATCAAGATTTGTATATCGATCGTGACAATATAAGTGCTTATCGTTTAAGGAATACGGAAAACAAATTAGTTCTTCCACAACCTCGAACTGATTATCTTAAGAGAAGTTTTTTGTACAGCGGAGCTCACTGGTGGAACGACTTACCCTTAGCCCTTAGACCTAAGACAAGCGTCTTCACTGACCGATTTCAAATCTAAATTAAGTCGCCACAGTTTAAAGTAATATCTTAATTTTAAGTAAATTTTAGACACGGCCTCCATGAAAAGCAGATTTTTATTTGTTTCTTTTATTTGAATTGTTATTATTAGATTTTATTATAGTTAGGAAGATAGATATACCTTTATAGATAATTAACAACTGATGGAAATACCGTGTATAAATAAAGTTATCCTTCCTTATCCATGTAGGCAGCGCGTCAGTCTCATAATCTAATTAGATGTCTGAAGGTCGTGAGTTCGATCCTCACACGGGGCATTTTTAAGTACCCTATCTAAGCAATTTTACGGGAGGTAGCGTGGCTTTGATAGAAAAAAAATCTTGTCTGATTATGAGACTGACGCGCTGCCAACTGCGCTAACGAGGCAATCTTACCAACGTCTTTTGATTGGAAAAAGTAGTTTCTCTATCGAAAACTACGGTCATATTGGCAACGATATTCGTTAATAGAACGGGACAGCAAAAATTTACTTTTTAACTTACTTCCTGTCGCGCCTCCTGGCGCATAGGACAGAACGAATTCTCTACATTCCTCTCTATCCTGGGCCTGCGTCTGCTGTATAGCCTTAATCTCCTCCTCGACCGTCCACCTCCAAATTTGCTTAGTCGGGTTAGCCTCTCTCTCTCTCTCTCTTTCTTTCCCTCTGCTGTTCAATGGATGGCTGTGATGCAATGCTGTCGGGTTCTCTCCGAAGGATACGCCCGACCCATCTCCATCGTCGTTTATTGAAGGTGGTCTTCATATCTTCAAGTTGGCATCACTCTAGTAGCTTTGGATTAGAATTAGTTCTTAAGCCAAAATATAAGGGAGATCCTTCGGAGACATGTCGTGTACAACATTTTAAGATCGGCTTCCGACATTCGCCAGCACTCTTAGCCGTATATAACAAGATTGATAGGACACACCTCATTAAATTCGCAGCTTTGTTTTGTAGTTCTACTGTGCTGACATCCAGGCGTCTTTTATCCGATTAAGGTCCCTCTTACCTTTTTCAGTCGGTTCTGGATATATGTTGCCGTTTGCTCCACCGTCGCTTTCCTATCACACCTCCAAGGTAGGTAAGGGATTCCGTATGGTTGATATCTTGATCATCAATCTTGTTAGATGATGGATTGGACACATTAGGAGTCATGCCTTCAGTTTTCTTCCGGCTCATCTTGACAGGCACCAAAGAAATGAAAAAGTATCAATGAGGTTTTTCATAGGGTTTTTGATTAATTGACTGAATCTCTTGCTTCCACAAAACTTCATATCTACACTTAGAGCATCAGACTTTTAATCTGAGGTTTATGGGTTCATGTCCCATATCGGGCGATAACACCGATAATGATATATTTTATTTTATCTGGGGAATTGTTTTCTATCTTTTACTAAAAAATAGCGTACTCTGTCAAATAGAACTTTTTAATGTGCTTCGATAATCTCTGGCATTTTTGCGCCTTTCTGCCCATAGCAGTTTTACGTTTTTTTATGGTTTAACTCTTAATCCAGAGCCCACCATAACGTGCAATCTCAATATACTTTCTAGTTCATCGCGTGCTCTGAAACGGCAGAAGTGGTGTGAGCGAGTTGGATGTTTACGCCATGCTCCTTCAACCTCTGTAGCAAAGATCTCACAGCCACGCCCGATTTAAACTTTTGCGTTGAGTCGTGTTGTGGAGGAAAAAAAAGGGTTGTAAACCGCCCGATATGGGACTTGAACCCATGACCCTCAGATTAAAAGTCTGATGCTCTACCGACTGAGCTAACCGGGCTGGCCTTGACTTCTACGTGAGTGCTTTACTTGCCTATTGCGATAGATTTTCCTTGGAACGACTGTACCCAGTCTGAATATGGATTTTGAAAAATGCCCATGAAAAACTTTTGGTGGTGAGCACAGTACTTTTAGTACTAAAACTGTTGTCGGTATGGAATCTTTCCACTCCCTTCTCGTTGCACAACCATGCAGCGATGTGAGAGCTGCGAAATTAGTCAATTTTGTCAGATTTCTGAATTAAGGATCGACTCGTTTATCATGTTTGTCGAACACGACTATGAAAAGTGCAAAGTAAGAACAGTTGCAGTCAAAGGCAGTAAATTCCAATGCTTAAAACCTATCAATCTGGCAGTAGTGATTTTCAGGTTTACTTCGTTAGTTATGTTCACGTCCCTAATGCGAACTATTGTAAATGGGTGTATGAAGAAGAGAGCCTATTTCACCATAGGTACATTCGTGATAAGTTGAAATAATAAATAAATAGATAAGTAAATAAGATATGATATCATGGGGACACTATAACCGCTAGTCAATCATCGAAGGTAGTATCATGCAGTTGAAGCTGTGGTGAATGCCAAATTATGAAGCCACATACCATCCAATTCATTCAACCGCCTCGTTAGCGCAGTAGGCAGCGCGTCAGTCTCATAATCTAATTAGATATCTGAAGGTCGTGAGTTCGATCCTCACACGGGGCATTCTTTTTGAAGGAGGTAGCGTGGCTTTGATAAAAGCAAATCTTAAAAGTACTTCTTTTACTTGCGTGGCCAGCAAGGACGAAAACGAATATGATTTAATTTATTCTTTATTAAAATATTTTTTTACCCGCTCAATATCTTTTACCATTAACCTGTGAATTGCACCCAGAAGTGAAGAGTAAGCTCAACTCTGGCTCTTTAAAAGAACATAAGAAAGAATAGCATCTGTGCTACCTGTTCATAGTTAAATTTTTGCCGAGGCCGGTTTCAAGCTGCATCTTGTTCCCTTGTTTTAGATATTGAGCCCTACTTAAATGTTTTTTCTCCTTTTCCTTTGCAGCCCACTTTGCTTTCATCTCGCTGTATTTTCTGTCTTCTTCATTAAGTTCTTTAAGAGCTTTCATCCTTTGCCAGATGTTGTAAACAATTTTGGCATCTTTCTGTTTTTCTTCTGAAGAGACATCCTCATGTTCTCTTTGTGGTTCGTGTTGAGCCCGCTGTCTCTCTAGGACAGCTTGGTGGTTCTTGATTGCAAGCCAATCCTCGTAAGTCTTGTAATGTGGGTTTAGCCATTTCGCCAACTGATCTATCTCCTCCAGTCTTTTCCGTTCTTTTTCTGTGGTAACTTTCTGGACTAACTCAATTTGTTTTTGCTTTTGTTTGTCCTGAAGCCATACCTCAAAGGATTTTCCACTCGCTTTTGAAGTATTCTTGATTCCATCGCTGTTATTTTCCGCATCTTTACTGTTATTGGCAGTGGCTTTTTTCTCTGCCAACCAGAGTTCGTACGATTTTCCAGAAGTGATTTGTTTGCGCACTTTGTTTCCTGCTCCTGGCGTGTTTTTATCACGTGAATCCGTTTCGCAGGTTATAGCACTCATGGGTCTTCTTCCTAACTTTGTTTCAAGCCAGCGATCAAACGTCAGACCACTAGAACTGATAAATGTCTTTTTGTTTGATGCTGAGGATTCGGAATTTGTGTGGTAGCGCTGCGAACGTTTGCTGTTCAACCACCTCTTAAACGATTCAGGGTCGATACTCTTTCCAAGCCTACTTTTCTGCGCAGGCGCAGTCCCAGGCCTCTTTTTCTCCTGAGATCGCTTCATTTGAAGCCAGTCGTCAAAAGTTCGGGCAGATTTCCTTATTGAATATTCCTGAAGAATGCTATTTTCGTGTTCGGTCTCTTGGTATTCTGCAGAACTACTCACATCCTGTCCACGGGTGGTCGACTCGCCTTTCATTTTTTCACGCGACTCGGTCATCAGAATGTCAAGCTTACGGATTCCATTCGATCTTCCTGAAGAGGGTCTGAGAAGACAAAAAAAACAATGAATATGAAGGATAAAATGATAAGGTACACATCATGGTCCTTAGCATACTTTGGTTTATTTTCCAGTGCAACAGTTCAGTTTACGCTATTTATTTCATTCAATTACACGCTGAGCTGGTTGTCTTGTATGTGTCTTTTCTTGTATTTGTCTTAATACTTTGTCGTTGCATTGTAATTGTGAGTTTTCTGTTTAGGAATAGAGGTTTTTTAGTTTTCCATCCATTGAGCATCACACTCTCGCCCTTTAGCCTCACGTCCTTATTTCACTCTCCTCAAAAATAACTTCTTGCAAGTGAATCTCTTAACCAGACCCATAACTGTATGTTCGGCCGTGCGAAGTCTTGAAAAAAAACTTTTCTCGAGAATGCCAAGAAGTATCTTGGGTAAAAGTCCCATAAAGCTGTACGAGGGTGCTCTCGCGCCTGGTATGGATAACACAGACTAGTAAGGCAATCCTGTTTCTATCGCCTAGTAACGCTATTACCAAGAATAATCACTTGGCTTTGCATGTATTTTTGATTACCTCTCGAAGTCGCGTGGTTCAGCCTCCGCTGGAGCGTCACAGTTAATTTCTGTAAAATCATCTTGCTTCTCTTCCGTAGATGAAGCTGTATCAACAGAGTTGAAAACAAACTATGTTAGAATTCCATCGCGCAAAGGGTATGATCAGTGACTCACGCTACAGCCAGGGGAAAAATTGTTTGTCAATAGCGTGTGTTAATGTGATTAGCCACTGTCATCCCTTTGTCTTTGGCTTTATTATTAAATTTCGTTTTGATTTTTAGTATCGATCCGTTGATTAAGTTCAATTCATTCGATGTTGATGTGAAGCGTTGGTAACTCAGCTCAAGTTATTTTTGTGGCCGCGGCTTTTTGTTGAAAACTGAGACTTTAATAAGTTGGTAGATCAGCTTTCCAGAAAACCTACACGAAAGAACCTACGATAAATATTCTTAACTGTAGGTGAAAATTCTCACAATTCTGGTCATGTCAGAATCATCATCGTGTCATCGTTACATCGTCACCAACAATTATTAAAAGATCTACTAAAGACTCCAAACTTAAACAGTGTGGCTTAACATATTCAAGAAATGTTCTAGCGAGAAAAAATAAAAAACAACAACACAAACAAACAAACAAAAAACTCTACCAGCACTGGTTTCCGTAATCCTTAAGCCTCGGTCTACCGCTGTTTCCAAGTCATCCTTGTTGTTCGCTTCTCTCACAAGGTCCACTTCATCTTTCGAGATGTCCTCTAACTCTGGTGTCTCTAGTTCCGGTGCTTCTTTTTTCACGTCTTCTTCGGATTCTTTTTGCAAATGCACAGGCAAAAGACCACCTCCTTTGTTTAAGTCCCGAAGCTCTTTTCGGTATTTCTCAGCGATTTGCATCAAGGGAAAAGAAGGCTGATTTGTTCGGCGCGGCTCGTGACTCTGCGTCCGACGGATGTTCGTCTTTTCTTCGTTAACAGTCACGCTCGGAAGGGTGAGAGTGGGTGACTAGTGGAAAAAAGAAAGTGTTAAGAAGCGGCAAGAAGAACGCTGGTTTTTGCAAATTTAACGGACAAGTGGAAATAGGGATTTTTCGATCATGTGTCTACACTGGTCAGGAGGCTTTTAATTGATTGAGATATTTTCCACAGATTACATCCTTGCTTTTTCCCCTAAGCTTTTTTCATTTCACTATTTCTTTGGTTATTTTCTCTAAGAAAAGTTTTGAAGTCTGCCATTAAAAATATATCATCATCATCATATAAAGGCCCATTTCTGAAGTGTAAAATTTGTTCTCACATTCCCATTTCCGTGTTGAAATAAAAGAAACTAATTGGCTCCTACCGTATCTAGTCGTTCCTTGTTATTGTTTTCATCAAGCTGATCACGTGTTTTTCCATTGGGTGGTGACCTGGTGGAGCGTGGTGAGGAATTCCAATTTCTATTAAAACAAAGGAGATCAAGTTGATGACTCTAATAGATCCTACGATTTTTTCCTTCACACAATTCGAAGCGGGTTCGATTTTCCCATCATACCGTCCGTAACGAACCTCATTTTATACTCGAATTGTTGGAAAGGAAACGCCCAAATAATAGTTTGCAGATTGATCAGGATATGCCGAGTAACAAAATCCAAACTGAACGAGATAGGATTAATATTCTAAAAAAAAATTAAGGGAAACGACTAACTTAAAGGGACGTGCAAGGGCCATTGTTTCCTTTGCAAAGGACGGGCAAATGGGGTACGGGCCTATGAGCTTACAGGCCTACGCGAAAACGGGCTCACGGGCTTACGGGCCTACGGGCCTACGGGATTACAGGTCCACGGGCCTACGGGCCTACGGGCCTACGGGCCTACGGGCCTACGGGCCTACGGGCCTACGGGCATACGGACCTAATGATATACGGATCTACGGGCCTACGGTCTTACAGGCTTTCGGGCTACGAACTCACAGGCCTAGGAGCCTACGGGGCCCACGGACCTACGGACCTACGGACCTGTGGGATTACGGATCCACTCGTAATTTCCAATCATTTCGAAGAAAATAAGGATCAATTTGATTTGGAACATTTTAAATCAAACAGAAATTGTTTAAAGGACAGCATCTACTCAAGCAAAGACTTTATTTATAGGTTTTATTATTTGGGAAGGGCAGCTAAAACACGACACGAAACATTCCGTGAGCCGTAACTGAAATCTTTCGCACAAGAAATGAACGTATCCTGCGAATAAAAAGGCTCACAGTTTCTCACGGTATTATCGCCCATTTTATCTACCAGCCATGCCGTCAGGCTGAATTGTGTGTGGGTAATTATATATGTAGAACCATCTTACTTAAAATGATGACGTCAAATGTTACTCAACATTGACGTCATTTCATCGGTATTACCACATTCATATATGTTACTGACGTCGTATTCTTGTAACGCCGAGACGTTTGATCACAACCAAAATCATGCAAACCGTTTCGTTTATAAATTAAACTTGACCTTCTGAAGCTGATCCATCAATCAGTTAGAGCTAATTGCTCAGTATTTGGAAAAAACACAGGTTCTATTTCATTTTACTTTTACGCTTTACTAATTCCTTAATCTTGGAGGTAAAAGAGGAGAGGGTTTTCATTTACGTATAAATTATCTAGAAATATCTAATCCCTTTGTAATAAAGTATATTGGCTTGTTACAAAAGCAGTATTATGGTTTCATTACCTCGCCATTATTTACCCTTTTTCATTACAGGGATTAGGGGTACAATGGTTTCTAGACTAGAAGAACAATGAATTACATATAGATATTTACGTTGTTGTTGTTTTACAGCGTTCGTGATCAATGTCGATCGAAAGTTAAAATATTTAACACGAAATCTATTCCCGCCTAGCGTTTAACTTACAGCAACTTTCTTAGGTAACACTTACCTTCCTGTATTCTCGACTGTTTCATTTGATTCTCCACTCAAGCTTCTCGTGGACTGCGGGCGAAATGTTTGTAGGTTCCACTGATAGAGCCAAAGTCTTCTTTCGCAATAAATATGACCATTCTCACTCGCTAAGGCCAGAGGCGTTTTGCCCTCAACGTCTGTTTGATTACAAATGGCGCCTTCGCTCAGCAGTAGAGATACGCAGCCTACAAAGCCTTGGTAAGCTGCAACGTGTAACGCGCTTCGTCCAAAAATGGTTTTACCGTTAATATCTGTGGCTCCGCGGTTGATAAGTTCTAATATAAGACCGAGGTAACCACGGTGGCAGGCGATAAACAAAGCGAGCGTCGCGCGTTGGATAACCAATTTGTTCCAAAGAGATATGTTGTAGCCTTGAAATTTGTCTTCGTCCAGAAATTGAACACCATTCTCGAAAACATCGTAAATATCTCCACGCCAACACGCTTCAAACAGGCCATGGTAGTTCTGTTCAAGTTTTACTCTGACAATACAGCCACGTTTAAGGTGGTATGTTTTCAAAGTATCCTGATCGCGTAGTTGTATATTCATAAAAAACAAAGAAAAAATGTTTGCTGGAATGCCAGCTTTTAGCTCGACTCTTGATTTCAGTTGATACACGAACATTTCGCGGGATAATCTTTTGACTGTGCATATGTCACCTGATGGGAGAGCAATAAAGATTTGAAAAGTCTCTTTTGCGCCAGTCATGGTAAGCTACTGAAAAATTGTTGCGAATTATTCAGTGATCTTTACCGTTCCACACCTGAAAACAAAAATGATACAAAAGATTTTAACACTGCATCGGAAATCGAGTTAATTTCTGAGTCAAGAATCGTGCGGCAAACACAGTAAATTTAACTAACTCGCAGTTAGTTCACAAGTCCGGAATTTTTGATCTCGAACTTAACGATCTGGATTACTTAAACATGATAATCTTAAATTCTGAGCAACAAATTCAGTGAAGCAGGGGCATTGACACATCTTTTGTGAGTAGATGACAGGTGTAATTTAAAATTCGGAAAAAGAGAAAATCTATTTGTATATGATAATCCAGTTTGTAAAGACACCGGATTAGTTGTCTTTCAGAACACTCGCATTAGCAATTCGGGGTACACTTCTGTCAAAAGAACCTTTGACAGCTAATATTGGGCTCACTTTTAACTTTTAATTGTCGCCTAAAATGAGCTAAGTTAATTTTGTTGGCAAGAGATCATTCTCTGTATAACAAGCATATATTTTAAATTTTGCAATGACCTGAAGAAATCGAATTTTACAAAATTAAAAAATGAGATGGGCAAAAAGCCGTGCAGGCTAAATACAATTAATATAGTAACTTTTAGGACTGTAACATTTTATATTTGAACACTTTTTCAATTTAGAATTTAGTTGCCAGCTGTGCAAAGTATGTTTCACAGGTTTTTAGATCGCTGTGGATACAGTGATGAATAAACGTGATCATCATAATAGCCAAAATGTATAGCTTAAAGATTTAATTCTATGGACATTTTAGTCTCGTTCTTTCTTTTCTATTCAACCACATTTAGTTTCAACGGTACGGCAGTAAAAATGTGTAAGTGCTAACTAAAAATGTGTGAATCAAGAAAAACCTGAATAGCCTGCTCCTACTAGCGCTTCGGCATGAGCATTTCTTCGCCAGCACTCGTTAGTGCCAGATCCTCAACTCGTCTCAAATCTTCCCGCGCGCAGATAAAAGCAGCGTCCTTCAGATATAGGCCTACTCGCAAGGACTGGCTGTTCTTACTGACACCTCCAAAGGCTCCTAGTCCTTTTAAAAATAATAACCAGCGCCAGGAAAAATTTGGGAATAAGGGAGTTCAGCAAAGAAACATTTTGACTTTGCTGATCCAAGGAAGATGCCAGACAGCTTGCAATTGTTACTGATGAATTTTTAAGGTCTGCCTCACCAAGGGATTCCCTGAGTTCTTCAGTTGATGGAGTATAGGAAAATGGATCGAAACTCGCGGGGTGCCAATCCCCGCTGCGCGCTCAGATTTTCTTTTGTTCCACACTCGTGACATTCTTAACATCTTTTTAAGCCAGCTATCATCATTATTTTGTGTTATTTTTGAGAAAGGTAGATTGAAATTGAAAACCTCCTAAAAAGTAATTCGATTATCCTTTGCACCGATGTCCACGGCGCGGATCTGACAAACAGACAAACTGAACGACAAAAGAGTAAACACCTTGGCAAGATACCTCAAACAATGAACGGCACCATAGGCATGTACCTACGTCTTCTTAAATGTCGTCTGTAGAGATCTACAGACGCGAGAGTTATGTGATTCAGACTGTCAAGATTCTAATTTTGGTGGAGAAGAGTCATCGAAAAGCTTGGCAAAGTTTTGACAAAATATCGATAATTCGTGAAGATTTAACTGTCGTCCCAAAATTGCTCGCGCATGAATATAACTTTGAAGAGCGGTGCTTATGTATCTTGTTGATCCTTTATTAAAATGTCTCCTTTTATATACCTATGCCCTTTAAACAGTGAAATATTTAGGTAATGAGAATTGAGAAGTAAGGTTAATGTTATCGAGGATTATTCTTCGAATGTAGCACCATATTCTCAAGACTGGCAAATAGGGAAAGAAAAAATATGGTCATCAGCTATACAACGAATTAGTTTCACGGTAAGTCTAGCAAAGTTAAGCCTCAGGTTAAAGCACAAAAGTTCCCTTAATTTCACCCTATACTACAGATTCACCAAAATAATAATTAAATAGGTTGATTGTTTTATAAGATCTAATACAATTAGCCAAAACAAAACTGCGCTTAAAGCCATTGTGGAACGTGCTTCTGACCACTGCAGTGTTTATTTTCTTTACAGTAAAAGAATTCCTTTGTCGCCAGAATAACAAACGATGCACAGTGATTTCTGCCAAGGCCACGCAAAGAATTAATTTCCTATCATACATAGAAAAATGTAATGAAAAGCGATTCGTGATGAACAAATGTTGGTTCTTCAATTAAAATTGTAGGGCTTTAATCTCAGCAATGCGAGTTTTTTAATGTGGTAGATGACCCGACAGATGCACTGGTAATATACTACATCGTGTAGCGCTTAGATCATACGATAAACCAGCTTAAAATCGCAGTTCTTCGTAGGAACGAAAAGCTCTTACTCCAAATATACTGAATTCATGGGGGATGAACCCAAACTCATTTAAGTTCTAGAACGTACCACTCCAATTGCCATTAATTACGTGCAAAGAAATTTACTTAACTGAAATCGGGTAAAATCTAACCAGCCTCAAGAAACTGGAACCGGCTTTGATTTTCTAGAGTCTTCTACGTTCAGACTAACCTTACTATAAATTACTTAAAACGTTTTTCCTGAAACTTATTGTACTTTTTCTTGCAAGTAGTCATATATAAGTAAATAGGAATCAACCCAACTCATTAATTTTCCGCTCCAGACGATCTCATTACCTTCATTGTGTTCAATAGAAGGAATCTAAATGGTGAGAATTTTATCGGAAATTATGACACAACATACCTTTCGTCTTATGACGCTTGATAATAAACCCAACTTTAGTAGCTGTGAGTGATGTTTGAATTACCGCAGTAACACTTTTGTATATTGAAATCGCTTGGTAAACATAACCCCTTCGGTTGACGTAAACCCAATCGAGTGAAGCGTGACGCGAAATGGACATTTACGTCACGCTCTCCAGTTTGTAATAGGTTACCTATCTTCGTGAATTTGAACACTAAAAAAGATCACAAGTTGCTCTCTAATATACCATTTTACCGTATGCATGAAACGTGGGGGAAATCAAAACAATGATGCGTCAATGCCCATGGAAGTTATTTTATGTTTTAGAGGGAAAGGTAGCCTGTTTCCCTCAGTTTCCCTCGCCATAAATCGTTTTCATGTAAAAGGTAAAATCAACTTTGCTCGTCATTCTTTCCAACCGAACTTCAGATCTGGCGATGTAAGTCTTGATACAGACTAGACAGAAAAATGACTATAGTTCGAGAATTAATTAAACCACTTCAGAGTGGGATGGATATTCCCCAAGGACTCAGTCTATCTTGTCCCCTCGTTTTCTCTTCAAGAGAAAGAGTGGTACATTTTCAGGGCCCTTATTTTTTACCAAAAAAACACTCAAAGAGTTTGAACTTGACATTTTGGCCTTTATTGCAGTAGCTTACGTTAAATACAGCTTAGTTTTGTAAGGCCTCTTTAATAAATACTACTCTAATGGGCCTTTAATTTATTGGCAAAGTTAATCAGCCTTGGTCCAATGTCCTTCCCGGTCTTCATTCCTGCCACTAAAAAAACAACAATAATTTCAAAATAGTGAGGACATTTCCGTATTACATACGTTCCCGCCAGTCACTTTGGGGGCCAAAGCTAAACCGCGCCAAAAATCCTTGAGACAGGTTATTTTGCCTGTGGTTGTTGATTCAATATTATAATAAGGAAACTAACATTTATTGATTACTTTGAGGGGTGGGGAGGGGGGATTGGGGGAGGGGTTCGGAGTATTCAAGGGGGGGGTCTTGTTGTTTTTGCGTCAAAACTAAAAAACAAAGACAAGATACCTTTCGGCAACATGTGAAGGCACAATTTAGTTCCATAAATTCGGAAAGGTACAGACAGAGGTACTGGTTCTCAGCCAAAACAGGACAGCAGTCAGCAAAGTCGGGGTTATCGTACTTGTATGCACAGAGATCTGTTTTTTTAAGTGAATAGAAGATGTTTTAGTCGGGGAACAAAAGGTACGTGTGATAGTAGTCCACGCGAGTGATTCGCGTGGTTCACGCAAGGAACTCGTTCACATCTTATCGGAGAGTAAGTAGGACAAGATTGAATTGCAGTCCTTCCGATCATTTTAGAGGTGAAAAAAAATCTAGACAAACATAACGACTGCGTGGGTGAATAGAATGACAAACAAGCGTGGCCTTGGGCAACCCATGGGCATTTGGCTGTCGTCCATGCCCCGGAGGTGGAAAATTTAAACCTTGCCCTGCTGGGGTGGGGTATTTGAACCGGAATACAGGTTTCATATCTTTGAATATGGAGGTGTTTAACCCTTTAACTCCCAGGAGTGACAAAGACCGAATTTCTCATTTCAATATTAATACAATATCAACCAGATGAGTGATGAGAATAAAGAAAAACATCAATTTGGGAATAATTGAGTTGATCCAATACTAAACTCTCTGAACTAACATTATAAGAATTGTATGGTCGACAGTAAGGAAAATTATAAATTTGATCTGGGAGTTAAAGGGTTAAGGTAAATAGTTCACTTTTGCAAGCGAATGGCTCAGAAGAAAAGGTCTACAAGTTTTAAAGCTTGGTCAATGAGTAGAAGGCCACGCTTGCTGATTTGGCCTTTTACAAAAACATTGGGTTGGGCATTTGTACACAGTTGTTACCCTGGGGGTCGGAAATTTGAACAAACCAATTTTCAAAAGTTCAAATGCACGGGAGTTGCCGGAGGGAATGTTATCGATGCATTACAAGGAAAATGTCACTAAAAATGCTAATTGTAATGATTAAAGTGATCATAATTATAATAATAATAATGACAGAACACGGCGAAAACCTCTGATTTTTAATCATAAATTTAATTCTAATGGGAGTCAATGTTATTTACCAGTGGTAGGTACACCTGCAAAAATGTAACAGCAAAATAAATTGAGATAAGAAAAACAGTTTTAAAACCGGTTTAACT